GCGATGTGTGGCTTTGTCCTGTGGGGGGGGGGGGGGGGAGTTATTTTTACAAGTACTTTACATAACTTTAGTTTTGTTTCCTCTCTCCAAATCCTAAGATTAAGCCTCCTTCTTGATTATTTTTCTGAGAAATGTAATTTAAAGATGCTCTAAGTTTTGTCCTCACCTGACCTTATAGAGGGGAAAAAAGTTAGTGATAAATGTAACAAGAATTTAACCTTAAATATGGAAATCATTCTGACTTGAGTAGAATTTGTCCTCTCAAATTCACTTTACATCTTCTATTTTCACATACAGTGCACCAAGGTAAATTAAGTGAATAAAAGAATAATGAATGTCGAATAAACCTGAAGATAACTGAAGAGAAAAATGTCTCTATTTTAATCGCTACAGCATAGATTCAAAATTAATAAAAAAATGAATAAATAAATCTAATATATGGCTACTACATGCATTGAATAAAAGCCTGGCTACAACATTGCTATTAAATCATGTTCATTGCTTATTTATTTGTTTGAAAAAATTCAAGTTATGATTAAATCACAAGTGTAAGCATACAGAGGGATACACAGATCCACAAGCTTCTCTGAAGTAGCTGTACTTTGGGAAAAGCCATCTCTATAGTAAGTCATATCTGAAAGTTGCTTAGTTTACTTGAAGCAGTGCCTGTGCCTGCAACTAGAAGCTATTGATAGCTTAAGGTCTCACAAGGATGAAGTATTTTGGGTACTTCATTCCTTGATATGACTGAAAACTCTGCAAAGAGCATATTAACAGTCTGCTAAACTGAATGGAAAAGGACTGTCTTCATTACAAACTCTTAAGAAGCCATTACAGAAAGTGCAAAATGCTATAAACTAATCACATCAGGGACATCTTTTCATAATACCAAGACACTCAAGGAGACCTGATTAGTGACCTGCAGAGACTGATTATTTGCAGTAATCAAGTAAAATTACACTAATATTTCAATTAACTAATTTCAGTGAGTAGTTTGCATAGCTCACACTAGTTCTTATTAGCAATTTCCAGCTTACTGCTTGGAGCACCATGACAGAATCTTAGCACCCTAACCTATGCTCAGTAAATCCTTTCTTGTTCTTTTCTTTGTTCTTTCACCGCTTTGTCCCACTTTAACTTGTATTTAATTCCTTTCCTATCTGTTTAATTCCACTTTTGTTCCAGATTTTCTATTGTCAGAATTTACTTTTTACCCCTCTTTTTGGATGGGTTGGCTTCCCTTCCCCCCCTCCCCAATAAATAAGGAAGTAAAACTTTCCTGATTACCACTATCTAACAAGAAACGGAGAACTGTCAATGATGTATTACTTCCCTAATTAATACTATTTCAAATGCAAACTGCAGACCAAATATTTAGCTAAAGGATGAAATTTCCTGTTGGAATCTGAACAACGGAGTGGAGTCTGCCTTGCCAGCTAACTCCCCAACCATTCACGCAGGCAGGACACAACAATACAGCGTGGCTCAAGCACCACAGGCAGAGTGGCACGGCAAGCTTTACAGAAGGGTCTATTTTTCTTTACCACTTCCAATGCCATTAGCTCTACTGTTCTTGTAGTGACAGCCCATTCCGAGAAGCTGGCAAAAGAGATGGTTTCTTTAAAATAAAATTTTTCATTCAAAAGCCAGTTTCTCCTATCAACTTGTCATTTTCTGAGGCTTCTTAGTTTATAGGAGACTCATATTTGAAAGACACTATGTAGACATATGAGGTTACAACAAGAACATTACGACGTCATTTTTAAATGGGAACCGAAATGGACTTCTGTTAAAAGAGAAAAACACCAAACTGTTTCCTTGGAAACTTTTGTTTTACCGGTTGGTAAAGTGACTTTCAGTACACAGTAGGTCCAAATTCCACTCAATACTTCCTAATCACCTAAAGCAAATAAAACACTAAGTGCTATAACTCAGTTATAAAGAGCTGCAGATAGAAAAGTTTAATGGAACTGTATTACAACAGCATAAGAAATCACATATTGTATTTAGCAAGAAATTCCTCCCCCTTAAAGATAACTAGTTCACTTAGGGTTACATCTAATGAACACCACAAACTGACGTAACAGTCTTTTCAGGCTGTTTCATGAATTGCTGTTCCCCTTTCAGCTGTATAATCTCCAGATAACTTCATTAGTACTGAAGTAAGCCAATGTTTTAGGGGTTCTTTTTCTTAAAACAATACAGCAACAAAAAGATCTTTGAAAAACACTAATATACATGTAAGATCCTTAGGGTAAAATCATGATGATTAAATTGCAATGCATGAATGATTAAGAATGAAGTGCCCTGAACCCAAGAGTTCAAAATCCACAGACCTGAGTTAATGCAAGAGTCAACAGCATTCAGCTATTCTTTTTCAGCTTAGCTCGTAAAACAATATATTAAATATATTAAACAAATATTCAAAGTTGTTTCAGATTTAGACAAATGTCACTACAGGGAACAAGCAACGGTGGTCAAAAGCAACACCTAGAGACAAATGGCAAAGAAAATCCCATTTAGCTATCCTTGGCTGGAAAACGTAGGGTAAGACTAGCATCTCTAATTGCAGAGATGATCCAAAACTTAACATTTATCTTTCAACCCTACTCCAACTGCTACTAGCTGCATTCATTGGCACCTGGTAAGCATACAAATTAAAGAGTGAATAAAAATTTCAGACTACTTCTAGATGAATTGACAATGATCATCTTTGTATATATAGCAGCATTAAAAATTGATTTATAGAGAGAGTAAATCTATTCTAAAAGTACATCACTAGCCAACATCAGTAATGGTAGAAAGTGAATCAATGGCCGTATCATCCCAGTCACTTCTTCATGGAAAGATCACCATAAGCAGTCCAGAAATACTATTTACAGGTTTACCTTAAGTTCAAAAATATTTCATTGGTGATTTTGTATTATATTCTCCTCTCTGTATTGCACTCAAGTACCAAATGTGTGAACAATCTGAACATATAGAGAAAGTAGAAGTATTAATTTATTTTTAAACTGGCACAGAGAAGAGAGTCTCATTTTGTTTAGTCGTTGACATAGTTGATATTCATACTGGCCACTTTTACCTACCAAAGGAAAGATTATTGTTACAAATTTGTGCCATACCTCTATCAAAGACGATACCCATCAAAATATCTAATTGTGTGAAAAAACTTGCCACAAGGGGGCACAGTTGAACTGCATTTCCTTAAGAGTATGAAGTGAAGCCATTTACTTTTGTTTTCGCATAACTATGCAATTGTATCCCTGGGAGAGCACTGGACAGCAAGAATGCTTCCCCTCATTCTCATTCATAGGATGTCTTCCTTCATTGCACTGAGATTTAAAGTATTGTTTAACCAATTAGCATAAAGTTTATCAAACATTTTAAAATACTTCAGACATTTATGAAGTAGCTTACCCTGCAAGGGCAGTGTAAGAGATGGAACAAAATATTCCATTTAGAAAGACAACACATAAAAGCAGCATTACTGTTTCTTTATGCAAGAGGAGACTTGACTTAGAAGATGATACCTTCTGAAGTTTAACAACTAGTAACAAGATGGAAAAATACACAGTAAGATAAAAATGTCTCTCTACGCAGAGGAAAAATAGTGTATGGCAAGCATTACTGTGATCTTGAACAGTAAAGTAGAATTTACTGCACTGTAAATAAATATCCCCTTTGTCTGGCTGTAACATGCATAATGAAAATTATTTTCATACCTCCTAATGTCACATTGCCATGAAGAAACCTCCCTTGATAAATAAGCCGCAAGATATTTGGACTGCTGACTTGTTCTTCCTCCCAATCTGAAAAGAAGCAAGGGAATTTTCACAGTTACACTGTAATAAAAACATCTTTTTTTATTTCTCTCATCTTTATCCAGGAATAAAACTAAAAACAGGACTCTTCTGCATGAAACACTAAAGAAAGAGCACAGGCTGAATGTACAGAAAGATAATTCAAGGTTAGCACTCCTGAAATCTATTCTTAAATTTATTATTTGACATTGGGCACTGAAACACATTATTTTATGCCTGCAAGTATAAATATTACTAGCTTACTTCACAGATTGCATGAGATATTTAGCACATATACAAGTCCTACAAAAATATTTCATAAATGCAAGTTCCTTCCTGAGGCTTAACACCCACTTTGCTAAAATCGTCTTAATTTTGTCCCATTCAGAAGATTCTCAAGCCATACTCCTCCTCCCCAGTTAATTGTCTAACTAGAGCCATTCTCCAGCAATGGGAAGCAGCCACACAGAGAGGAAAAGTGCATGTGATGGGTCATTTGAAATAGGAGTCTCAGATCACAGCTCTGAAAACGCTCTGCCCGCTGCTCAGCGGTGTTCAATGATGGCCAGATCCAACCAGTTAGATGTCCAGAGGGGGCAGTGACCTGAGCAGCCCTGAACGGTCACAGGGGAGAGCATGAGCAGAGGAGACACTGATGGATACATTTTACGGAACTTCTCAAAAGACAATCTGTGGATGTTTTTATGTGGCAAACAATGATTCAGGAAAAGCAAGCATGTATTTTCCTATAATGCACTTCCTTTAATGCCGAAGCCATCATAAATCATTTATAAGCTTAAACGATCTTTTCCTACTCTTTTACTGTTCCCTGTCACAATGCGAACGACAAATAAATGTGCACTTTGCTTTCAGAACAAATATCATAAAACCGTGAAATGTTGAATTTAAATGGGCCCTCTGGAAATACTGTGTCTTCTGTTTCTTAGCTGACCAGATATCTGGCAACAGCTGTTCACAAATGTTCTCTCTTTCGGCTTTTGTAGTGTTTATATACCAAAATGAATATTCAGCGAGGGATCAGACAAGCAACAGAAACTAACCTGTTCACTGGGAACATACAATTGACATACGGGCAGTAGCAACTGGCACCACAAAAGGAGAACTACTGAAAAGGGGAGAAGAACTGAAAAGGGGAGAAGGGGAAGCATTTAAAACAAAAGACACGGCTGCAGAGGGTGTACGGAGAGGCATCTGGTGCGAGAAAACAAGCACGCAGAGATGTGGGCAGCAGGAGCCATCGCAGCCCTGGTGCTGCGCAGAACACGGCGGAGGCAGGGCTGGCATCCACAGCAGAAGCTGCGCTATCCCTGGGTGCTGCCATGTGCCTAGTTTATAAGATTAGATCAAATTACACAACCAAAGCTATTTGAATTTCAAGTATTCCCACTCAAGGTCTGATTCAATTGTCTTGCAATTCAAGCACATGCCCTTTTCGCTATGCTATGAAGTGGGCTATGTTAAGGATCTGAATTATCGCACTGCTAGGGTAAACAAATTTTTGGAAGATACCTTTTTTATTTCCTCTCTTTTTTTTTTTTTTTTTTTTTTTTTTTTTACTCCCTGAACCCACTATACTGTGGGTGTAAAGAGGAGACGTTCAGGCAGTTTACAGTGCCATAATGACATAAAACAGCAACGAAAAGAGGACAGACTATATTCTGGCACAGATATTTGCCCATTGTTAAGCTGCCAATTTACCCATCCTGTTAATTTTTGCTTCTTGGCTGGCAGTTGAAACATTTCTTTCTGACATGACTTCAGATTTTAGTTTCCACTGATGACTAAATGAGCCAAGGAGAAAATATTTACCTACAACAAGTTTTTTTAACTTTTTTTATTTTAAAGTTCAGCAGATAATTGCTGTACAAGAAAAAAGTTAGTATTATTTAGAAGAAAATGGGCAGGAAAGAGAACAGGTAACCCACCTAGATGATATACATTAACATAAATTTGGTATTTTCCACTACAAGCCAAGAGATCCTTAGTTAACAATTGTATTGCCAAAAGAGGCAAAGAGCAGTTTGCCTTAATCTTGCCAGCATGCGACTGAGGATATTTCATCACTTTTTTTCCCCACAAGATCACGACAAGTCAAAATGATGGTAAAAACAATCATTTCATATCATCTCTATTTCAAGAAAACTTTATTCCTCATCAAGATTTCTCAGTCCTGTGGCAAAGAAGAGCACTTTCAGTCTGAAAACAGCTAGTGGACTAATGTTTGTGAAAACCTATATTATTCTGAAGTAGATTTTTCCTCAGTCTTTTAAATTGACACTATTCTTCTTTGCACAGGCAATTAAATATTCATCAAGATTTAGAGCGCTTCCTCAGGACAGCAGACATTTGAACTGAGGCTTCCATGTCTGGTTCTACTTTCCTTTTTCTTTAAAAAAGAGACTTTAAAGCCTTGGTTTCTTCCCAACTCTAAACTCAGAATCTGCAACCTTCAAGCTCTTCACAAGACCGGGCACATGAGACCACATGTTCAGGAATAAACTTCAGTAAGAAAAAAACAGTTCTGCCTTTACTAATTCAGATAAGAGTACACAAAGAACATTTGGTCATGATATCTATGTTGTAGGCACATATTAAAATATGTACAGTAGCTACATAGATGATACATCAACCAGGTTTCTTAGAGTAAAACTATTTTACATCTGTATCTAATACTTCAGAGGACTAAAAGCCTCCTCTTTCATTACATATTTTACTAAATACATAATGCTGCATCCCAGCAAAACAAACAGCAAACAAGTCCCCTGAAATCCTGTTCTTCCTGACATCAAAGACCAGTTTAAGCCTAAAATATGGATTATCAACACTAACTTTCTGGCATGAATTATCATCCACTATACCTCTTTGACAAAGGCACCACAGAAACAGATATTGCAACACTTCAGTTTGTGTAAATAGTAGTCTTTTTTAACATCAAAACAGTAACCCAAATGAAGTCTTGTACCAAAAGAAGCATTTTCTTTCATCATATGTAATACTATGTCCGTGTTTTGGCTCTTTTCCCATGAAATCATAGTCAGGGACAACAGAAGCACGTTGGTTTTGTGGAACTATTCACATATGTTTTCACATAAGTTTTCAGTTCCATTTTCCAAAGCTAGTATTCTTGCATAACACCAAATATATTCATACAAACAACCTCAGTTTCTCTCAGTCTTTTAATGTCTCTTAAAATGTTCTTTTATGTTTGATTTCTTCCTGGAAAAATACCATTATTACAGATCCCTTCCAAGATAAGGCAGACCCAATTTCACTAATGCATTCCTGTGACATGCCATGTTTTACATCCTCACATAAGAGGCTTTCTATCTCCAACATTTCCTCATGCTTGCTACATCCTCTAACAAGATGGATCAAGAAAAGTGTCTAAAGATAGGGGGAAAGAAGTACTTCAGTTTGGGGAAGCAAGTTTTAGAAATAAAGTGGGAAATAGTCCACACATCTATAAATCTGGCCACTCAAAGAAACACGGAAAAAGGCGGCAAGAAATATTTATATATTTCTATATAAATCTATGCCCAGATACACAATAAACATACTTAATTTGAACACTGAGAACAGAGATCAATTCATTGACACTTTAGTCTGAAAATACAGGGAAGCTTCTAGCTTGCCAGTTAAAAAGCCAAAGCCACACAGCTACTCACCCATCGGCCAGTTGTCATACACATGTTTTGCAATATCTGCAGCAGAATCATTTGGTGAAAATAGGAACTCTTTCGTTTTCCCGCTTACCAAGATGAGGCGCAAATTTATCTGAAAAAAAAAATCAGTATTAGGAAAGTATCCAGAGAAAACTTAGTTTTATTTTATTTTTTTAAATAACTAGAAAGTTGCCAGTGGTTTAGAAGATTGAAGTGATTTGAGAAAACTCTTTAAGATGGTGTTAAAAATAGGGTCAAAGAGGTCAATAAAATTTTGTTTGCTTACACATAATCCAGGAAGATTAAATTCTAACAGCCGGCATTTTTGATGATAAACACCAGAAGATTCTGATAGGTAGTGATTGAATCAACTGTGCCATTAAAAAAAGCTTTCAGCAGCATATTAAAAAAATTCCACCCAAGACAGACTAGCAGCATGTCTTCTTGAAAAAAGAGGAAAAATATAAACCCGAAAAATTAACCCAAACAGAAAGCACCAAAAATATCAAAATCTGCACCTGAATAGCCTTGTGAGCCTCAGTAAAAGCCCTAGCACCCTCCCTCCAGTATGGTATTTGTCAGCCCTGATCTCACCTATTGCATCTCCTACAAAACACCAGGGAGTCAGACATCATCCTTCCTTGGTCCCAGCTGCCACAGAATTTGAATCCTTCTGCCAGTCTTCTGAACCCAAAACTTTTTTCCACCACTGTCTTTCACTACAAGCAAAGTGGCTGAGATCCACTTGCAATACAGTAATAACACCACATCATAGTTTTTCTATCAATTTCCTTTATCTAACCATCAGCATCTTCAGCTATAACCTTGCTGTCTTCTATTTGCAAGTTACTGAATGTAATTCCTTTTCCATATAGCATTAAAATAACCTGTATAAAGAGCTCACTATGACATTACTTACAATGCAAAAGAGATGAAATTTTGGCTCCTCAAGCAACTGATAGCAAAGTCACAAGATGTGTTTGGGTAGCTAGTGTTTACCAATGCCCACGGCAAGTAGCAGTCTAGCTGTTTTTGTGTTTTGGCCTACAAGCCTAAATTGCATCAACTTTTAGCATGACTCTCTCAAACTGTGGCTCTCATTTTAAGTTAAGTTGCAACAAAGCTTTCCTTGTTAGAATTCAGTAAACTGTTTTCTAGATCAAATACAAAAGGAAAAATTTACAGCTATGCCCAAGTTTTCAAGACTTCAAGTCAAAAATCTCTGCACATCATACCCACCGAACATGACAGCCCTGCCACAGTTACGTACTCGCCCCTTATTTCAGAAACTCTCCAGACAGATTGTCTATTCTCTCTTGAATGCTTTGGCTTGGATTCATCCCACCTACCTTTAAGCACCTAATAGAGGTATCCAAATTACAATCTCTATCATTCTGCACACTTCAAGGTCAATGAAGAAAATTACCCCTCCAAAAAGCAATTCAGTCTCTATTTCTAAGTGTAGTAAAGATAAACAGAGTTACCTCAGAAGGGTTAGGTTCCCCTCCCTGTCCCCCTGCTAACGTCCTTCAGAAAATACAAGTTCTGTCTTTAGCCCAGGAGAGAAGCCAAGTGGTAGCTGTCTGAGAAAGCACCACAGCCAGTATAAAGAGTATCGCTGCATACCAGGAAATCGCAAAAAAACTTAATTTTGAATGCTATTTAGTCAAAGACAATTATTCATAAAATTCAGAACACATTTGGCTATAAACAGTTCCATTTTCTTTGATATTTGCGGAATGATTAAGGAATTATTTTCAAACCTCCCCACGATTTAGCAGAAAAAGCAGATCAAGTTCAACCATTCCTGTTTACTCCAAAACCCTGAATGCTGTAAAAAATTACAACTTCAAAATGTTATGCCTAAATTTTGCAATGGCCAGACTATATCCACTTGTTGTTATGCTTATAGTGTCTTTCAGTTTAAGTAGTTTCTTCCCTCTTAGCTGTCTCCAGTTGTGCATGTATAGACAATGCTTAGATATATGGTTTCTTTAGCTGGACTACCCAAGACAAGCTCTTCAAACTTTCTCTAGTGAGATATCCATTTCCTCATTCATCCTAGGAGCCTGCCTCTGCACATTTTTTCTCTTTTCTCCTCAAAACAGATTACTATTTCTGAAGCATACTAAATGATGTCTCACCACATGCCTGTATAACACCACCAGTAATTTCCTCTGTTTACTGGAAACATTTTCTGTGATTGTGTCCCAAGAGCACATACACCTTCTTCATAACTGCACCACACCATTTGCTCTACTTTGATCCTTTCAATTATTCAGCCTCCAAGCTTATAACTGACATTTTGGCTGTAATGCCCTAAAGCACAAGGCTCCAAATTTCATCCCACTCCTATTACTCCATCCCTCTCAGGCAAAGGAGACTAGGTAGAAAGAAGTATTCTGCACTACAAAGATGTTTCAGATCTCTGTTGTCTGGGCCTATGGCCTATGGAATCCCCCCAAAATTTCTGTGTAACACTTTCTATGTTAAGAGCATTTTTCAAACTTCATGTCATCAACAAATTCTAGCAGTAAGGTCCCCTTACATGTATCTTTGTCATTAAATGAATCAGGAAACATAAGACTGATTTGACAATTAATCCATAATGATTCCAGTAACTAGCGCTCTCTCAGCTGGTTTCCCCCTCCTCTCAGCTAGGTCCTTTATTTTAGGCCCTTATGCACACTCACAATTTCTCTATTAAATCCTAATTTCTTCTATTTAACCAACAGTTTGCACCACGGCACCACATTAGTTACTATATACATATTCAGATGAAACTATAAAAACGTCTACGTAGAAAAGAAGTTCTTTTTATCAAAAGTCAGCTTGCCACGCTTCAGCTTTCAAAGGCGTGGTGTGCTGCGCTCCATTCCACTTTCTCTATACCTCATTATCTTTAATTATCCTTTAAGCATTTATGCATCTCATTACAACACCAAGATACTGCCAAAAATTTAGGAGGTTTAGACTGCGTCACAAACTGTTATTGTACTTGGGAATGGGCTGCCTGTTTAGAAAACAAACAAACCAACCAACCCCAAATATTCAGCAACAGAGGCTGAGGCAGGCACTAGTGGTGAGGAGCTTCTTCACCAGCAGCCCCTCTTGCCTCTCACTTGCATCCCCCCCGCATCTGTTTCCTGTAACTGGCTCCTGAGACACACACCCCCCACCCCCCCACCCCTTACCTTGCTCCTTCTGGCCAAGCAGTCCCCCAACTCTAATTTTATGCAGATTATCTAAGGATTTCTTTTCTTTCATCTGTGTGTAGCTTATCTGTTGTGGGGATTACCTGTTTTGAAGATCATAATGCTTTCCTATGCAGTAGACACAACACCAACCCATCAACCCCCCAGAACTGTCTGATTTGGATCCTACAAGCAGATGATTAAAAACTCCCCAGATTAGTCCTGCTCAGCACTTAAAATATTGTTAGGGCACAGCATTAATATAGAACTAAAGTTATTCATCAGCTAGCATAACATTAAGGAGACACATCTTTTTTTATTCTCACTACTGAGTTTTGAGATTACCAGGCATACTAAAGTGAACACAGAAAGGAGTATCAGAGAGAAATAACCAAAACTAACTTGGCTTCCTGGAAAATTTGATTAAGTCATACTTCTGCAATTAATATACAACTAAAAATCAATATAAGCAACAGAGAAAAAAAAAAAGTGAAAATTGTTAGTTCCTTCTTTCCCCCTCACCTCCACAAGATGGATAACGTAATAGTGCCAAAGTTTTTTGTTGCTGAAGAGCATTTCTTATAGTCTTACTATAAGATATAAAAGGCACATCAAGATAAACTAATAATTTTACAGGATATACTACAAAGTATGTGTAAAATACAGGAGGAATATTTTCATTTAAAAAAGAAATCACCAAATTTCAGCAGAAGCCCAAAAATAAATCCTTAAATCAGTCAAGCAGATGCTGCATCAAGTGCAAGGAAACAGCTGCTCTAATGAAAGGTTAAAGTATTTTCTTATTTATAGTACAGCATGCCACTGACCCATTTAGTTTGCATGTTTGTATCTCTATATATATGTGCATATATATAAGATATATATATATGTCTTTATATTTCTTAATCTTGGCTTGAAGGAATCTTAGTCTTGAGTTGCACATCACACTACCTCAAAGGGTATGAAGCAAAAGAATCCCAAAACTTGCCCTTAAGTTTAGAGTCTGATCTCATTCCCCTCAAGAGCATCAGGAAGTTTAATGGCTTGCAACTGCTTATTCTGCCAGCCTGAGAACCCCACTACAAACAAACTATAGGGGATCTGAAACAAACCTTTCTGGCAAAATGCCATTAATGAAAGTTCATATCTAAAAAAGGAGAAAACCCCCAAAAAGTATTTGTGTATACACATTTACTCAAAGGAAAGCGCAGGGAAAAAAATCTTGGTTAGGTAGAGAATTTTTGACATAAAAGCAGCAAATTTTAATTTTTCAAGTTATGAAAGGATTCTTACTGGTCTTAGCTACCCTATATCCTATTTCCTATGTTAAAAGTTAGCAAGGAAGTTGTATCTGTATCTCTTGTATGCTTAAAGCCCCTCCACTTATTCTTGTCAAAATAATCTTGGTCGCAAGTCACTTTTGTGATTCTCATAGCCCTGCAAGTTTGCTCTTCCACAGCAGACATAACCATGATCCTGATTTTAGGCTGGGTTTTTTTTTTTTCTGTTTGGGTTTTTTTGTTGGTTTT